CGAACCCTTTGTACGAACAAAAGTAAGAGAAATTTAGGAGAAGAATACGAACATGTTCTTGCATGAGGCCCATTGTATTTTAACTCACTTTAATTAGCTACTCAAGCTAATAAGCTGGTTAGTAAAGATGTGATCTTCACAAAAAATCCAAATCTTTTGAACCATCGATGAGTCGCATAGGCTGTCCATGACTAAATGTTTAAAACTGAACAGATCCACAAAATCCAGATGGCCCTAAGTCCCATCACCAGTGGAACAGTTCTGCTAATAAGCTAACAGTGGGAATCATTTTTCATTTAGTAGATTGGCTTTTTCATTAACTTTAAGAACCAGTAGCAGACCAATTAGCTTCTGCTGAGTTAGAAAATTTAAAATTGTCAAAACTTAACATTTAACTAACAACAGGTTTGTGTCAGTCCCACCAGTCTTCAGCTCGAAGCAAAGACATGTGACGCAGACTGAATGGCGGCCATCTTAGCAGGTTAGCAATTAGCTGTTAGTGTTAGCTTCTGCTAAATCTTTACTAGTTAAGGTCAGCTTCCATTATTTGTATTATTATTTTTACATGTTTAGCATCAGCGAAGCTATATTTTTAGTTAGCCAATCATGAGCTGAAGCTAACGTTTTGGTCAGCTGTGCCCACCTCAGCTCATCACCAATGGTTAACTTGGCCTATAGACGGTGTAAAAAAAAAGTTTACATTTCTTGCTATAAATTCATAAAACAATACATTTATTTTCATCAAAAATTTTCTAAACTTTGGAGTGTAGAACCTATTTTTTAACATTCTATTTAACCTGTTTTTACATTTATGGAAATATTTTGACATCTTCCAATAAGTTTTTTCAAGTTTGTCAGGAATCTTAAAAATGTTATATGGTACAATTTTGCTTTAAGTCTAGTATTTCCTGAAAAACATTTGGGCTTGGGTGATTATTTTAGGAAGGCGTGGATGCTGTATTTTTGTACATGTGAATTAAAAGGCATAAATAATGTAAATACTTTAGAGTTGCATTTTATTATGTTGACAGTTTGACAGGTTTTGACTTTAGCAGTAGTTGTAGAGTTGTGTGTAAACACTGATTTCACTTTTACATTTAAACCTTTTTTCCCCTCCATGAAATCTGATAACAGCTAATCAAGCTAACAAGGTTAGCTTAGCCTGTAGACAGGCAACATTATTTCCAGTTAGATGATGCATCAAAAGTAATTCAAAATATAGAGTACACACAAACAGTTTTTATGTTTTTAAACCTCTCAGTTAAGTCCCTTTTTACTTACAAAAATATATCCGTGTAAAGCTGAYGTTACCATTTTATTTCACATTCGTTTCCAGTTTGACATGTTGACTTTTGTTTTTTAGATTCAACTTGCATAGCAGCCTCTCAAAAATAATACCAGTTCTGAAATGAAATACTCAAAGCATTCAAAAGTATTTGTACAAGTAAGACGAGCTACATGCAGCATGTTAAGTGAATTAAAGGTGCTGGTTTCAGGATTTATAGAGACAAAACCAAGCTAGCTCTGCAAAACCATTATATCTTTACATTCCTTTAAAACTAAGAATCAATTATGGTTCTATTAAATCAACAGAACAGTCTGCTGATAAGGCTCATAGAACATGTCACTTTTATTTAGGGTTTTGTCTCCAACACCTAAAAACTTAAAAGGATAATCTGTTCAATTTGAAGTCTGGGTTATGTTGAAAAGTTATAAAGAAATAACATGTTACCTGCAGTAGATGGATTTAAATGGCTTCAGTTTGAAATAATTTCTTAATATTTCTACAAATGCAACAACAACATATGTACAGAAGAGGTGTCCAGTCCTGGTGAGTCTCTCTCCTGCATGTTTTACTTGTTTCTCTGCTCTGACACACCTGATTCAGTGACTGAATCACCTCTTCAAGTTCTGTAGAAGCCTGTTAATCACCCATTTATTTAAATAAGGCGTGTTGGAACAGAGAGATGTCTGAAACCTGCAGGATTTAGCTCACCAGTCCTGTCAGAATTAAACAGTTTACCCAAAGTGAGTTTGCTCAAAGAGCCATCTACAACAGGTAAGATATTTATAACTTTTCAACATAATCACATAATCACATAATAACAAAATTTTATGTCACAACATAAAAACATATATATATATATATAT